GTGTCAGGAAGTTTCTCTTTAGTTCTAGGTTGCTTCTCTCCTTGATTAGTTTCCATCCATTGGTTCTTGTCCTGCCTTCAGGAGCTTTGGAAAATAGCTTGACTCCTCTTCTCTGTGGTAGCCCCTGAGATATTGGAACACTGCTATCATGTCCCCCCTCGTCCTTCTCTTCGTTAAACTAGACATACCCAATTCCAGCAACTGTTCTTTATATGTTTTAGCCTCCAGTCCCCTAATCATCTTTGTTGCTCTTCTCTGTACAGTATTCCAAGTATTGGCCTCACTAAGTATGGTATAAAGTGGTATTATCATTTCTTGTGACTTGATGCTATCCCTCTGTTGATGCAGCCCAAGACTGTGTTGAGGGTTTTTTTTGGCAGCTGTGGCATATTGCTGATTCATACTTAAGTGGTGGTCTATTAGGACATCCAGATCTCTCTCACAGTCAGTCACTACTGTTGAGCCAGGTACCATCTATTCTGTACCTATGCATTTGGTTTTTCCTCCCTTAGTGGAGGACTGTACCTTTCTCACTGTTGAGCTGCATCTTGTTGAAGGAGCCCAATGCTTAAGTCTGTCAAAATCCTTCTGAATCCTGAGCCAATCTTCCAAAGTGTTAGCAATTCTCCCCAGTTTGATGTCATCTGGATATTTGATGAATTCCCCTTCTACCCCTCATCTAGATGACTTATGAAGATGTTGAAGAGTAGCAGGCCCAAGACAGAACATTGAGGTAGCCCAGTGCATGCTTCCTTCCATGTAGATGTAGTTCCGTTAAGTACTACATGCTAAGTGCAGATGGTCAGCCAACTACAAATTCAGTTGATGATGGTACTATTTATCCTACATTGTCCTATCTTACCAAGAAGTAAGTTGTAATCTACTTTGTCAAATGCCTTATTGAAGTCCAAATAGACTATATCTACAGCATTTCACTGTGAACTTCGTTTACTGTATAAAAGGATATCCAGAATATAAGCAGCCTCCTCAGACAAGCAATTCCCCTCTTACAAAATGAAGCTGCTGCCTCTCTTATGTTTAAACTTTGTGCCATTCTCTCCTTCCTTCACAGGACTTCATGGAAACTCTACTTTGCACTTCTGACACTTGAAACTTCAGCTCTGATCATCAGCAAATTTTGGATTCCTGCCCTGGGTAATATCTTAATATCTGTGGGTACCAATTTGGGGATGTAAGCTTGATCAACTCTCCCCTCAAGACGTTTGACTGATATTATTATTTCAAAGTGGGGGGAGGATTGCTTTAAGGTTTTTAGTTAGGTGAGTAACTCTAAGTTTGCTTTGAATTTTTGCTCTGAGTCAGATTTTTGTGGCCTAATGCATTCCACCTCTTCTTGCTCCACGTCTCCACGCAGGAGAGCAGATAAATAAACAATTCCAAACCATTGCTCCTTATCAAGAATGGTGCATTCCATCCAGATAATTAAACATAAAAAGAGATGAAGCTGCAAGTGAAACTGCCCTGTAAATAAGCCACTTGAAGTATTTTGGTGGATGATAATTATACATTGAGGAAGCAGATTAATTAAAGCCAGACACAAGAGACAGAGAGGGAAGCTTGCAAGCCTAGCATTTTTTTTAATTTCACGCTATTTCCCATATGACAAAGATTTTTGCTCGGGAGCATAGATTCTAGCTGCTAGGCAAACCAAACCCAGGTTGTTCCATGTAATTTTTTTTTTTTTTTTGCATCCCGTGCACCTCTTGAGCCATATAAAAGAGAGGAGCCCTGCTTGTAAATCAAAGGGACTCTCTTGCCTTTGCTCTTTTGCTTTTCCCTCGTCCCACTGCTTCACTCATAGTTTGCTCAACTCTTTTCAAAAATCCAGAAACACCAATCCTAACCATGAACATACCTGTCGGGTCTCGATGCTTAGGTGGATCAAGGCGATTTTCTTCTGCTTCTATGGTGGGTGGCCGAAGCTCTGCTCCTCCATGCCAGCCATATGGAAGACCACATGGGGCTGGTGGCTACTCCAGCATGAGCCTGAATAATTTTGGGGGAAGCCAAAGAATATCTTACAGTCAAGGCTACGGAGGACAAATCTATGCGGGAGTTGGTGGACAGCGCATAGGAATGGGAGGACAGGCGATGGGAATGGGGGCTCATGCTTACAGCGGAGGGTTTGGTGGAGGTTATGGGGGTGCTGAGTGCCAGGGTGGATATGGAGGATACGGTAGAATGGGCAGCATGAGTAGCATGAGAAGCGAAGGGATCCGGGGGGTCTCTATTGACGAGCGCCTCTTGAAGCCGCTTTCTCTTGGAGTTGATCCCGAGGAGCATAAAGCACGGACACACGAGAAAGAAGAGATGAAAATCTTGAACAACCAGTTTGCTTGCTTCATCGATAAGGTAGGAATTTGTCCATCCTTCTCTCTTTTTTTTTCAACTCTCAATTTTTATATGTTTAAGAATAATTTGGGATAACCCATCTATTCCCCTTTTCTTCATCTCTTGCTACATTGCTCCCGCATTCTATCTAGAACAAACATCTAACTGCCCCCTGTTGCATCCTTCTTGGCAGGCTAGGAACTAATGATAAGAAATCTTTCCTGAATTATGACATTTTGTAAAGAGGGATTTGCCTGTTTGTTTGTGTGCATCAAGAGAGACTGGGAATATAGTTAGGGTTCAGATTGCCAGCTCTGTTATCTTAGTAAATATGGTAAAAACCCTCAGACAGAGATCAGCATTATGCCTTCACCACACAGGAGGGTGGGGAGAAGTTTTTTTCTAAGGGGGAACATTTGAACCAGGAATTTTATGGCTGAGATTTCCTTCATTGAATGGCAATAGCTTCTGTTCCTTCCATATCCATCTTTCTGCTTTGCTCTTCAGACCTACTGCAAATGTATACTATTCTACTCTTCCCGTGTTAGGGTCCATCATATGTTAATCAAAACTACTTGGCTTTTCTAACCCTAATCCTAGCCTTGTTCCAACTTCAATTAACATTAGGATTAAGACTCATTTTTATAAGTAATAGCATTATCTAACCTTATATTTGCCATATGGAAAAACCTATTTTTTAAAATCTGAGATGAAATTATAACAGGGGAGGGATGTGATTGATTTGGCCAGAAAGACAAGTAGAGAAGACATTCATAAATGTAATTGTTTCAATAAGTTATTACTTGGATCTATATAGATCCGTTTACTGAGAATAAGATACCTGAATAGGAAGCAATGGTTGAAATCCCGATTCACTGCAATTGAACTGCAAATTGAAGAAAGCAGTAGAAATGAGAAGGTGTTTCTTCCATTTCCGTTTTATTTTCTGCAAATTTTAAATATGTGCCCTCCAATCTAATGAGTTCTAGTCTCACTTTGGATATGAAGCCAGCTGAGTAATCTTGGGCCAGTCATGTTCTGTCAACCCTAGAAAGGAGCAATGGCAAACCACTTGTGGAAAATCTTGCCAAGAAATTTACTTGTTTCTTGTAGTTTCTTTTAAGTTGAGCTCAGCTGCTGGAGATTACAGGGATATATACTTCATTGTCCATTACATGGATATTGTTGGTAACAATACAGATTGCCATACTCTTCTTCTAGAGTAGTTTTTCAGGTTTCAAGTCTAGTTGACAACCTTGGCATTCAGTAGAAGTCATTCATCCAAATACTAACCAGTTCTGACCCTGCTTAGCTTCCAGCCTAGACAGGATCACCCCACTTTCCTCATACCTCATACTCTAGACAAAAAACTCAGAAATTGCTTTCTTTTTATTTCTACCAACTTAACCATTCAGCACTGAAATTCCTTTTAGTTTTTTCTTTTTAGCTCTATGCTTTGTGCTGTGCTTTGTAGGTTTATGCTTTGTGGTCTATGTTTGATTAATTCAGCAACAGCAGGGCTATAAATTTATATTGTCCGTTCCACCCATCAATTAAATGACTAGAAAAAAAATTATTTGTAAATTGTTTCAGCTTGTTTTCAACCATCTTAGATCTATGTCTAAACTGTATAAAGCTATTGCTGTAAGAGACATTTTTGTCCACAACAGTTAATATGGAGTAGAACGCCAAACATGATGGCAATAAAATATTTAAATGTTTTGTCAAACACTCAAGAGAAAGAGAAAAATAATTTAAAGTAAATCCATGACAAATCAAGTTAATTAAGCACCAAACTCTCAGAAAAGGAAGGCCTGGGCAATGATTTGCTTCAAACACATCATAGTTGGGCCCTCCAGCACAAATGACCAGCCACAGAAGAGTCCCACTTTATGGTAATCAACAGCAAGGTCTCTTCTGGGAACTATTATATTTGCACAAACAAGACAAAAGTTGACTATAATCTTTTACATATCAGCGAGACAGGACTGAAGTACACAAGATGAAGTATTTTGAGAAATTTTGAAATATTGGCCTGTGTCACCTCCAGTTTTGGAAGCAGAAGAGCTCACAGACCTTCACTCCATCAGATTATTTTGTATAGTTCAGCATCCTCCATTTGGCTCCCTCCACACATCTTGGGTCTAGAATTCTTAGGGTTCCCAAGAAAGTGGGCCAATAGTCCTGAGGCTGGAAAGTCTGAGGAACTGTGGTCCCAGCACATCTCCAAGAGACAAACTTGGACCTGTACAGACTGTTTCAGAATTGAGCCCAGATGCTCAACTGAGTGAAGCAAATCATAGATACTGGAGATAGATAGATTGCTAGATTGATTGGGGAGTTTTGAGTAATGATCAATTCCCCCACCCCACCCACTGCATATTTTTTTCCAAGCCAAGTTCTAATTAGCTCCCTTCCCAAATTCTCCCCATCGGCCCCATCTCCCTTTCCATCTGCTCACCTGTCATGCAATAACAGCATCGGCAGGCAAAGTGAGCAGGTGAAAAGAATTGTTCCTTGTTTGACAGCCAGCTGGTACTCCAGGGCACAGAGCCTGGGGAACTGTGAGAAAGATAGTTTGCCAAGCATCGTTATAATTGCAGAGAGCAATAAGTAGGTGTGGTTCTTTCCTGAATGCACTATAGCAAACACAGGCTATCGTTGCATCTGTGAAATAGCCTTCAGCTTAAAATAAACAAACAAAAGACTAAAATTGTGTTTGATTCATACCAATTTCAAGTGTTTTCTCAGGGAGGATGCACAATCTAGGTCACACATAATTTATGCTTTTTCGTTAGATTATCAGATACCAAGGAAGGTGGAATTACTAGACCTTTAATAATAATATAGAAGCAAGTGACACATCCTGAAGCCCCCTGAAGCGATCTCACTATTAAAGATGCAGGAATCCCTTGATTATTTGGTATAAGGCCACCCTCAGCTAATCCACTATGAGAAACTGGTTTTGTTGGAAGACTTACTGGAGAGATTGTTTCTTTCAGGTTCGATCCCTGGAGCAGCAGAACAAAGTTCTTTCTACTAAATGGGAATTACTGAATCAGTATGTTCAGCCTACCCGGAAGAACCTTGAAGCCTACTATGGAAATTTCATTGGCTCACTTAAGAAACAACTGGAATGTGTCCTAACTGAAAGAGAAAAACTGGAACATGAACAGAAGAACATGCAGGAACTAGTTGAGGAATATAGGTCTAGGTGAGTAAACATATTTGGAAGATTGAAGCTTGGCAATATACACAAATCCCCTCCCCAGATAAGAATCTGATCAGCTGCATTTCAAGATAAAGTCTACCAGGATCTAGGCAGGATCTAAATACAGGTAGTCCTCAACTTACGTCCATAATTAAGCTCAAAAGTTATGTTGCTAAGCGAGACATTTGTTAAGCGAGTTTTGCCCTATTTTACGACCTTTCTTGCCACAGTTGTTAAGTGAATCACTGCAGTTGTTACGTTAGTAACAAGATTGTTAACTGAATTTGGCTTCCCCATTGACTTTGCTTGTCAAAAGGTCACAAAAAGGTATCACATGACCCCAGGACACTGCAAGCGTCATAAATATGAATCAGTTACCAACCATCTGAATTTTGATCGCATGACCATGAGGACGCTACAACGGTCATAAGTCATACGTCCCTTTTTTTCATTGTAACTTCGAACGGTCACTAAATGAGCTGTTATAAGTTGAGGACTATCTGTATTTATCCCATCTGCCATTCTCCAGATGTGCTGGGATTGCAATTCCAGCCAGTAGTCCTGACAATTTTGAGAGCTGCGATTCCAGTGAAACTCAGATTGAGAAAGGCTGATCTAAGTTGTTGTATTGACATCACCACTGAGTTCATGGTAGCCTTTTAAAAAAAATTCCTAGCATTTTTTTTCCATAATGTGCAGGGTCTGCTTTTATCAGATCAGTGTTAATCCATCCTTGTTTATCAGTGTGAATCCATTTCGTGTGACAGGAATTGGCCGACTGGCTTGTCACTAGAGTCTGACATTATAGGGCAGAGCAATAGTGACTGGCGCAAAATCACCCAGAGGCTTTCATGACTAAGGCAGGATGAGAACTCAGCCTTCTGGTTTCTAGCTTGGTGCTTTAATCACTAGACCTAACCAGCTCTCTACATGATATGATAGCTACAGGCTAGTAATTACAGTGTAAAAACAAGGGAAGTTTCTTTTCTTGATTGTTCCAGTTTATGGAACACCTTGCTTATCTGAGTATTATTATTTTTTAAAGCTTTTTTAAAAAAAATCAGTTTTCCAACAAATATCTAGGGCTTTGCTTGAGTTTCAAATTGTTGCTTAGGTAGTTCATTATTCAGAGGGATACATTAACTCACGGGTGTCAAACTCGATCGCGTCACATGATGTATCGTGACGTATCGTGACATTTGTTGCCTTTGCAGAGCCGGGGTGGACGTTGGCTGTGTGTGATGCATCCGGCCCGTGGGCCGCTGTTGTGGTATTTTACTTATATTTGGTTTATGTAAGTCACCTGGGGTGAATCTGTTGGCCTTGAAGAGAACCTAGAGGTCTTTTAACTAAATGGATGAAAAGGTGGCAGAATTATCTGATGAAAACATACCAGTGAGACCTGCTTTTAATTTAATTTTTTCTTGACATTAAGAACCAGACTTCCTTTCTCTCTAATGCAGATATGAAGATGAGGTTAATAGGCGTACAACAGCAGAGAACGACTTTGTGGTGCTCAAAAAGGTAAATTTTAAACATAAAACAAAAATATGTGAAACTTTGCACTTGGAGGTTCTTTAATTTAGCTAGACCTCTGTAGATACATTAAACAAGACATGTCAAACACAAGGCCCGGGAGCCAGATGCGGCCCGCAACATGGTTTCATGTGGACCGTGAAGCCATCCTGGAAACAGTGAGGGAATGGCCCCCGCTGCCTTGGCCCCGGCCCAGGCTGCCTTGGAGCCAATGTACAATTTTGTGGTGGCCATCTATGCTGAAATGTATTCAGTCTTAGCTCCACAAGGCCGTCTGGAACCAGCGAGGAACCAGCCCCTGCCCATCAGCCCCACCCCCTGGGTGCATGCTGGGGAGGTGTCATCCTTTGTGAGGAATGAAGAAATGCACCATCGCCTAGAACTGGCCAGCAAATGGCCCTCACCTACTTCACATATCCAGCTTGATGGGTTCTGGGGAAGGGGTTTCAGCAGGCAGTGGGGCGCTTTCCTCACAGCGCTGAGAGGCTGAACCAGGCAGTGCGAATACAAAAAGAAGCGTGCCGCCGTTCAGCCCCCAGCCTGCCCGATTTCAGCAGGCAGCAAGGTGCAAAGCTGGCAAGCTTCGCACTGCCTGGCTCAGCCTCTCGGCACTGTGAGGAGAGCACCATGCTGCCTGCCGAAACTGGGCAGGCTGGGGGCTGGGTGGCATCATGCTTCTTTTCGGATTCACGCTGCCTGGCTCAGCCTCTCGGCACTGTGAGGAGAGTGCTTCGCTGCCTGCCGAAACCAGGCAGGCTGGGGGCTGGACAGCATTGCACAGGTAACGTCAACTTTCACATTGCTCATGGTGTCCCCTCCCCCAAAGCCCACCAGGCCAGATATGTGAAGTAGGCGAGGGCCTTGTGCTGGCCATTTCCAGGCGAAGGTGAATTTCTTCATTCCTCATGAAGGGGCACCATCCATCCCCCCCTCGCATGGCCTGAGAGGAACAGTAAGGCTCTTCCAGTAGACCATGCCTTGGCACTTGCCCCGGTCCCACCCCCTTCTGCCAGAGACCCTCAGATCTGTCCCACTCGTGCCCAGGCCCCCACAGGCACCCTTGACGCAAATGATGAAGAGCTGGCCATGCCCACCCAGTAGGCCACACCCACTCTGGCCACGCCCATGCATTAGGCCACACCCACCCTGGCCACACCTACTTGCCCCCCCGAGGACAACTGCAATGCTGATGCGGCCCTCAATGAAATTAAGTTTGACACCCCTGCATTAAATGATGGCAATAAGTCCATGTGCATAGAGGAAAGACTAAAAAAAAATTGATTTCTGGGATGAATAGACTCTAATATCTATCTTTAGCCCTGTTCCAAGTTTACATTGTATACCCACTGCATCAGCATTCTTGGATGGATTTATAAGATTTTACAGTAAATGCTGCAACTTAGGAATGTCTGCTTAATTATCAGCTCCCTGGCATTTCATGGCACTCACTTTCAGATATGATTAAAAATTGTATACGATCCATCTTATATATGAGATGATATTCAAAAATGTTTTCCTTATTACACCATCATAATGAATATACAGTTCTCTCTGCCCCATAAAAAGACTTTTTTATTTTGTATGAAACTTCCTTTTTTAAAAAAATACAATTTCCTCTCTACGTAGGACGTTGATTGTGTCTTCCTCACTAAAGAAGAGCTAGAATCTAAAGTTGATGTTTTAGCACAAGAATTGGAAGTACTAAGGTGTATCTTTGCAGAGGTGAGTATCTAGTTCTTATGAAACCTGTCAGTAACATATCCATAGAGAATAACAACAACTTCCTTTTAGGAACATCATTGTGGGTTTGTGGTCCTAATCCACCACTGCCCTAACAGCTTTGCTCAATATGCACTCTTTTAATGACATTTACTTCTAGGGGCCCTAAAACAGGACCAACATACTTTAATTGTTAAGCAGTAGAAGGCAATAATGTAGGGGTGTACAAGAAGCAGGGGAAATGTCTGGTTTAAAGTTTGGAGCAAACCATCAGGTTCTGGAGGTTCTGGAACCATTTTGGGTCAGAACTGGAACCCAGAATGCATTGGTTGTTTCAGGTTTCAGGTGAAACATAATCCAGATAGGCCTGTAGGGCAAGACAATGCAGCTCTTCTTGTCAGTAGTTTCCATCATGGTATATTCCACTCTCCTGCCCATTCATCCCATTTTCCCAGTACGTTCTCATCCCTCTCTCTCTTCAGCTGCTATTACTGCTCTCACCGATTCCTAGCATGGTATATCCTATTGTCCTGTTCACCCACTCATCTTCTCAGTCTCTTCCCTCCCTCCTTTCAATCCCCGATGTATTTGGCTTCTGTCCCATTTCTCCCACCTTCACCCTAAGCGACTTCTGCCAAGACCGACATAATCATTCTATGCACAGAACAAAATAGTCCCTTATTTGTTCTATGTTTGGACCCAAACAGCAGAAACCTGCATCAGGAATGGCGCACCCAAAAGTAACTGTTTTTTTTTGCATGCCACCGTCTATACATGTAATGTTTTATATATCCCTACAAGGATGTGGGAACTTATTTTGGAATCATATGCTCTACAGGAATTAACTCAGTTCAACCACCAAATCTGTGACACCTCTGTGGTTCTGAAAATGGACAATACGCGTGCCCTGGATATGGACCTCATCCTTAAGAACGTAGAAGCCTGGTATCAGAATATTGCTCACACCAGCAAGCAAGAAGCTGAAGCTTTTTACCATAGCAAGGTGAGATTAGTTTGATAGTCTTAGGGACCTTGCTTGAGAAATCAAGCAGATCAGGATGCAACAGTTAAGCTCTTTGCTTAGTAAACTCATCCGTGAGTTGGGGATTGGAAGCAAACTTTGGAATGGACTGTCAGGGTAGATGCTTAAACAAAGCACTTGACCACTAGGAAAAGTAACAGTATACTCCTCCCCTTAGTCTTATTGCCTTCTTCAGATCTTCCTGTCCGCTTTATACCTACAATCATAGCTATTATAACATACAATTATATTCCATGCTGGTGGGCCCTATATCACAAAACACAGTAAATGATGTTTTTTTTTTAATGTTGATATGTCATCAACTGCTCAAATGACAGTAAGAATGAAGCTGAATTCTTGTTTTTCATTTATTAGATTGCAGAGATTCAGAACAATCGAGGCAAATTCAATGAAGAACTGAAAAACAACCAGCACGAGATTGCAGAACTCAACAGGGTGGTCCAGAGGCTGCAAGCGGATACTGATAATGCAAAGAAGCAGGTAGGGGAATCAATCTTATTTTATTGCTTTGTCTTGAACGATCTTGTTTTCCTACAATAGCAGGTAAACACATTCTCTGGAATCTCAAGATTTTATTGATCCTTTCAAAGAGACTCACTGTAAAGAAAAAGAAAAGTACTGTGGTTTTCTTTGAAGATTCCTCTCAGGTGCTATTCTGGAATGCCCACTAGATTGCAATGTGTTCTTTCAGCCTCATTTTGGAAATACCACAGTGGAAAACTATAAGGTAGTGATGGCGAACCTTTTAGAAATTGAGTGCCCAAAACCCGGCCCCTGCCCCCCACTATCACCCACCCCTGCTCCGCCCCCGCCCCTGCCTGCTCTGCCCCTGCTCCTCCCCTGCCCGCAGGGTCACCCACCGCCTCTACAGCCTGCCACAGATCACCCAGGCAGCCCAGCAGCTCTATGGCAGCCACTCCTTCCATCTGCGCCCTGCAGCATCAACTGTGCACGACAGGGCGCGAGGACGGAGTCATGTCCCTGCTGCCCAGCTGCCATGACCTTGGCTGCACTGCTCTGCATGGGCCATGCTCGGGGGTGACTCTCCTCTGGGGGGGGGCTGTGGTGAGGAGGGGGCCATGGGGGGAGGTGGGGCTGGGGCAATGGTGCCAATGCCCACAGAGAAGGCTCTGAGTGCTGCCTCTGGCACGCGTGCCATAGGTTCGCCACCACTGCTATAAGGAAACCTATGTGCTATCGAGGTCTTGTTCTCCCCCTCCACCACCACCCCAAAAGCAAATAGAATGATCCCCGTTCTCTCCACAAATGTACATTTGTTTTCTAAGGAGGAAAAATATTTGAAGGATAGAATTAGCTTACCATAAAAACAAATAAGAAAATCTGTCCTGAATTGTGTTTGGCTTCTGGGTCTTTTTTTTTCTTTTCAGTTTCCTGATCTAACTGTGGGATTTCCTGACAATCTTCCAAATCCTAACCATGTTTGAATTGGATTATTTCAGATCAGCCAAGGTCAATGGGATGCTGCCACCTGCTGTGGCTAGAAACAAATAGAAGCTGTCCAAGGCTTGCATATATTATATCATACACAGCTACGTTAAAATATGTAATATCTCTAGCGTGACTGCAAAGAAGCTGATCAATAGTTAAATGCCACCCACATATTAGCTATGTATGTTTATTTCAAGGGTTGAAAACAACCATTGAAACGAAATATAAAATTTGGAAATCAAATGTTAATGGCAGTAATTTCAGATTATCAGACTCTCGTAATATAAACAATCAGATAATATATAAAGATTTGGGAATATTAGATACAGAATGGAACTACATTGAGAAAAGATTTCTAGAAAACAACACCCAGACTAGGAAATAAGATTGGAAGTTTAGGCATAAATATTGCAATGTTGTTATTAGATTTCTGCTCAAGAAAACATGACCAGCCTCCATTTCACAGCAAAACTAAAATATATTAGAATTATATTGGTTTACATAGATAATACATAGTGCCCTGTAAAAGCAAAAATCTAAATGGAATAAAATGAAGTTTACTAATGCAAACTGGAAGTGGGAAAGCAATCTAAAGGGCAAGTTAAAGCAAGGCCTGTATTAAAAATAGCACAATTACTTTGCCACCTGGTTGGCAGGAATATTATGTCATGACATGCTGACTGAAATATTCAATCGGGAATGATACCTACCAGTATATTCCTTTTTCTAGAAAAATGTTTAGCTCTCAGTGAGTGAAAATAGTATGTATATTCTATTTATTATCATGTATTATGGTAATAAAACTTATAGCAAGAGAACAAAGATTCTGATATTGCTGGTGGACTCTGTATCTTAGTTCCTTCATTCTTTGCCATGGATAGTCAACCTTGGCTCTTTTATGACTTGTGGACTTCAACTCCCAGAATTCCTGAGTTGAAGTTCACGAGTCATAAAAGAGCCAAGGTTGACTACCCCTGTTCTTTGCCATCATTTGCCCTGTTAGGTCCTCATCCCATTCACTTCCCTGTGCTAAGCTGTTTTGTTCATTGAATAAGGAGTTACTGGACAGCAGATTGAGTAGCGATGGAAGCAGGGTGGGTAGAGAGAATGTACAATATTGTGACTTTGGGGCACAGGTATCATAGAGGAGGTATCATAGAGCAGATAACATGGTGGATTCTCACATGTTTAATGTGCGGTTTCCCTTATTTCTCAGAGTTCAAGTAACTTCCCTACTTGTTCCATGTGTCTTCTCTATCTGCTTGTGATTCTACCAACATCCCTGACCAATTTAATTAGCTGAGAGGAAAGACAATGGCTCCTTTAGCTAATTTCTTCAACACTGCAGACAGCCATCATGGATCAGATTCAACATACCTCTGTTTCACACTGCCTTAATCAGTTGACACTACATCTCCTTAAGCTTTTCGTCTCCTGATCCTAGGTTTCCAGTCTTCAGTCAGCCATTTGTGACTCTGAGCAACGTGGCGACATTGCCCTAAAAGATGCTCGAACTAAGCATCTTGAGCTGCAGACAGCCTACCAGCAGTCAAAAGATAAACTGGCATGCCTGCTCCGTGATTACCAAGAGCTGCTAAACACTAAGCTGGCTCTAGATATTGAAATTGCTACCTATAAGGCACTGCTGGAAGGAGAAGAGAGCAGGTGAGGTGCACTTCTAAATATATTTAGAAAAATATAAAAAGACATGTTTGCAATGCCCAGCTATCATAAGGGGTAGCAATCTGTGGTTTTCTAGATATTGTTGGGTTGCTATTCATCCTAATCAATATGGTCAATAAGTCAAGAAAAATTGGAAGGCTAAACACCCAAACCTTAGATTGTTATGTTATACATTTCTGCAGTGCTTTTTTTGTAAAAAAAAAAAAAAAAAAGTGCAGGAACTCACAAATGTCATACAACCCGCCTTGCCTACCCTACAAGGTTCCATCCCAAAAAGGTGCCGGAACTCCGTTCTGGGCATTCTATGACAAAAAAAAAGCCCTGCATTTCTGTATAAAAGATGCTAAACGTGGGAAACTGGCATTTTGAATGCTAGACTAAAAAGGAAGGCATCAGATTGCCAATATGCTATATTTATGGAAGGAAAGATATCCAATGAATCACCAGTGTTATGATTAGGTGGTTTGATTGATTGGGTGAGGCTGGGAATAATGTACTGTACAATTCTAAAATAAAGAATCGAATATTGGAAAGAAGTGCCCTTACATATCCATCCTGAGAATGTCAGTTAGTTTTTACTGGGAGATCTCTATGGTTACCTTTCCAGAATCAGCAGGAAGATATGACTTCTGAAAGATGTTATTCTTTGTGACACCTGGAGACTATATTCTACTTTCTCTGTGTGGAAATCAGATATGTAGCACAAGAATCTACTGAGCTACTAGATGGCAGCAAAGAGTTCTCTAGATTTTTGAAACCTGGGAAGACTGATTCACCTCATTCAGCTTTTCATAAGCTTTATTATGTTGGTTGCACATTCAGCCAGATGTTTAGACTGGATTTGGCATTTTTATCCACCTATTGAGTCTTTCCCAAGGACCTGGGATAGGCCGATGTTGTTTGAGGGTGTTAAAGTTATTGTAGCAAGGTGTAACTTGTTCCAAGTAAAGCTGCCTTTTGCAATTGACTGGCAGTGATTTTTTCAATGCTAATGGTGTTCAAGTAGTGTCCAGATGTTTTCATTATTAATATAATTATTTTACATAATGCTACATAAGAAGGGAGATGGAATGTACGCACATAGGATAGACTCTTCTCTATAACTTCTCAGTGTTTTAGATTACAACTCCATAAATTCTCTACCAGAGAGACCAAATTTTTATTTGTTGAGAGCTTTGGAAGCTTTGTTCCTGACAAAGACACCCTCCCCCAGCCTCTAATTAAATCAGCTCAACCCAGGTGTTTTTTTTTTGTAAGGAGGGGTGGGGTGGCCTGCTAACTAGCAGCCTCACAAACCTCTTTTGAGCTTCCCTCTGCTCCACTCTCTGTGTCCTTGGATCAGGTGGAGGAGGCAGCTGTTTCTGTTGCCTCTCTTCACCATTGCCTGTCTACAGCCTATCCTCCTCTGCATTTGTGAGGGCAGGCAAATCTCCATCTGGTCAACCACCTCCCCCAATGCCGGAGGACCTGGGACAGCATAATCCTTAGCCCTTGCCCCCTCCAGACATTCCAGGGTAGACATGCCATCCCCATTGGATGCTCCCAGTTCCAACTCCTCCTCCTCCTCCTCCAAACTGGGATCCGAAGGGGCCAAGACACTTAGGGTCCCTTCACCCACCTTTCTGTGCATCATCAGGACTGAGATATCAAAATCCAGGCAACATGAGATGGCAGAAAAATGTGACTTTACTTCCATTTAAGGACCACAAGGATTTCTGCAGTCCAGATGTGCTAGCCACAAGCCAGAACATCCTATTTAAATAGTGGTGCTGACCATTGTGACAGTGAATATAGTACTGTCTATAGACAAAGAATGCAAAACGTTTGTTTTTGAAATATGGAGTCTTTTAAGAATATGGTTCTAATTTTCACTTTTCTCATCCTAACAGGATTTACACAGGCAACCCTGTCAGTGTTGGTGAGTATATTGAACATCTCCCCCACCCCACTTAAAAATGCGTGACCAAATATTGTGTGCTTGATATTTTCAAGCCTGCCATCAAAGTAACAGAACCTCTCTTGTTTGCCATCTTTACAGCAATGGTTAGTGGAGGCTACCCAGTAGGTGAGTGTCCCCCTGGAATGGGAGTCGGAGTGGCCTATGGTGCTGCTGCAGGAAGAGGCATGGAACACAATCATGGGAACTTTAATGGCACGGGAGAAGGCTTCACTACTGGGAGTGCACCTTGTATCCACACTATGGGCCCCAGGAATGCAGGAGGCTCAGGAGGCATGGCAGCTGGAGTCAATCATGGGATGGTACATGGGGCTGGGTTGGGAACTGCAGGAGGGGTTAGTGCCAGCAGTGGTGGCTACACAGCCAATGTTTCCACCAAGCATGTAATGACCTCTGGAGGTGGCAGACATAACTCAGGTCTTTCTGCAGATGGAAACTGCGTAAATAGTCACCATAGTGGAATACACCATAGTGTAGGAGCCACCTATGTTTCTGGAGGGTCTGGCATGGGAGGGCATAGTTCTGGGGCTGGAGGCATCTCCGGAGCTGTGTTTGGGGCTTCCCGTGGTGAGAGCAGCTCTGGGCTTAGAAATGTCCAAGTCACATCAGTCAGTTCTTCAGTCAGAAAATTTATGTACTAAATCCCAGGGGCTGGGAAGAAGGAACTTCATGTGGAGACAGATGCATGAATCATTAAATTCATGGCTGAGAACAGCCATGCTCTAGACTAAGACCATATTGAGGGTTTGGGGTGTGCCAGGAGCCAGCCTCAGAAATTGGGCATGGCCATGGCAAATGAATGGGTGGGGCTTACTCAGAGCACATTCAGAATCAATCCTCTCAAAGGGAAAATTGAGAACCCTTCCATTTCTGCCATTCCTTTCCTCCCCCAGAACCAGTCTTGATCAATTGCTCGATTAATCAGCTGAATGGCTGAAAAGAACTGAAAAATGATGAATAGGCTCTGGGGGGGGGGGCATGCCTAGGCATCTGGGGGCTTCACAGGGCCTCTGAATTGCCCACCCCATGGGAAAGAAATAGCAGGACCTTATATTTACTTGAGATAGCTTACTGTAGATTGCTTCAGCATGTAATGGCCAGGGTTTTCTGTCTTTAAGATTCTTCAAGCAGTCTCCAACCATGTATGCTCCTTTTCCCCCAATTTACACTGGGAATATTTTATTTTTATTTTTTTTCCTGTTTTTGAATTAGGGATATTATTTTAGTTTTTGATTTCCTTTTTGTCCTTGGTGCCTAGCAAAGCATTTCAGAAAGGGAAGCCACATATTAACTGTCCAAGATGGGATTGCAAATAATATTTCTTTCCCTTGCCCCTCCCTTCCCCCATGTCAAGGATGAGATTTACCATATACAGTACACATTTTAACACTGATCTCTTCTCTTGACTTCTTTGCACCCATTTTCCCATGGGAATACCTCCTTTGATATTTTTTTTCCTGTTACAGCTAGACTTGCAATTAGATTGGGGATGGGGATCACATTCATTTTCCCATATTGTTAAAAATTTGTATTCTGAATTCAGAATTGAAATTATGAAATCTTGGGATGAAGAGAATGATGTGGGTAGATTTTCTGCTTCTGTACTCAGATGTCACTGGTAAAAGCCAAGTTTCTGTCAAAAAAGATTAGTAGAAATTTGAATCCAAGTAACACTTTAGAAAGTTTCCTCATTACAGTGTGAAATTCTGTTGCATCTTTTTAATTAAGTGTGCTTTGCCATACATAGTTCAATGCATGCATTACTATTTTGATTGAGGATTAGTTGCAAAGGACATATATATTTAATATCTACATTGTTGCTAAATTTTGCTTCTTATTAAGCATTCCAAGCTTCCTTCTATATTTTCAATAAACTGCATGCATGCATTTGGCTTCTGCTTCACTTTAGTGTTTTTGTTTCTTGCTTCCTTCTGTCTCTAAATTTTTCTCTGTGAACTGGAAATAAATATATACATGCTGGCCCAGCTCCCTCTGTCAAGTAGACACAGAGGCAAAATTCATTTACTTTACATTAGAATTCAAGCTTACCTGGCATCTCATTTTCGGAGCTAAATAAAGATAAAAAATGAGCTTTTCAGATCTGCATTTCTCTCAACTTTGCAGTGTACTTCCATGAGTACAAAAGTATATTAAATTCTCCATAAAAATACTAATACATTAAAGTATATTGTTTACATATAGAATGCATGAAAGCAATATATTTGGAGAAATCCATATAAGCATATACAATTTATTGCAGATTTGCTTAAGAAAAGTTCTGTAATTTGAATGGGAATAGGATGTTTGACATACTTTGGGTTGTAGTAAGCATCAGCCATGCACATGAAAAAAGGCACATGTGAATTTATTCATGTTGAGCTTCTCCACTGAAGATCAGGAATACTTCCAAGTACCCCTTGTGTGAAGGACCTCTACACTTTGAAGTTACACAGCTGCACAATGCACATTGTGAGACTGTGCAGAAGCTCATCTGAATTGCTTCTCCCCATAAATTGATCCACACTGATTTCCCCTTTACTTTTATCTCCAAAGAACAATACCATATCACACTGAGGAACAAAACTGAACGCTGCTTGGACTTCATCCAACGTTTGATCTGAAGGATCTCATTTAGTTCTGTAGTTTTTTTTCTGTACATTTCTGATAGAAATTAAAAGCTGTGGCATTATTCCTTTGAACCTATTCACTGTAATGAGATGGAGGTTTCCTGCTCCCTCTGCTTCCCCAAGAAAAAAATTGAGTGATCCACCAAAATGGAATCAATCAAGATACAACTAGACATCCTGTGCTGGAATATTTCTTAAGCTCAGAAACCCTATGCAAAGGTGTACCAATGGGAATGCTGTGTATAAAAAGCTATACATTACAGAGCAACAGGTATACAAATGAGTATAATAATAATAATAATAATAATAATAATAATAATAATAATAATAATAATAATAATAATAATAATAATAATAATAATAATAATAATAATAATAATAATAAAGTTGGAAGGGACCTCA